AGGCCAGATCCTGAAGAGGAAACTGAAATTCTTTGACCACTTAATGAGAAGGAAGGACTCACTGGAGAAGAACCTAATGCTGGGAAAGTTTGAGGGCAAAAGAAGAAAGGGACAACAGAGAATGAGGTAGCTGGATGGATTCACCAAAGCAGTAGGCATGAGCTTAAATGGATTCCAGAGGATGGAAGAGGACAGGAAGACCTGGAGGAACACTGTCCATGGGGTTGCAATGGGTTGGACATGACTTCACAGCTAACAACAACAAAAACAACCTATAATTACAGACAACATTCATATTTTCCTTAAGTATAACAATAATCTTTCTTCATCCAACTTCTACCTCTTATCTCTAACCATTGATAAAACGTATTCCATGTTGAATAGTACTCTATATCACCTTTATCTTTCATTTTCAATGTCAATCTATCCATCTCTGCACAGTCTAATATTTTTCGGATTACATTTTCATCTGGTAGGGTGTTCTCATTTTTCCAATATTGGGCAAATACAATTGTTGCTGTGTCAATACATGTAGCATTAAATATATAGTCCTTTTATCATAACTTTCTGGTTTTATACCTAACAAAAATATTTTACATTCATAATGGATGTCAATCAATATTGCTACCACCTTACTTATTTATGTTAAGAAGTGACATTTGCAACTTTGGAGGCACTTTTTAAAATTTTCTAAGCAAATAAAAGAAAAAGACTCAGGTTTAGAAGGTTAAGTATCTATGATTGCATGTTATCATACATTGTATTGAAATATCAAAGGTACGTAAGTATCTAAGGTATTTAAGTTTCTAAGATAAATAAAAAAAGGTGGTTTCTCAACAGATTCATGATTGAGCTTCATTGTTTTTTTAATCTTTATTGTCATTAAGCATATTACACACACCTTAGCTCTTCATTTTAAGCATCCAGTAAGTTTGTGTGTGTGGAAGAACTTTTGTTCTTCAAATCCCATAATTTGGTTGGGGCCAGTCAGGCCACAACCATAGAAAAACATGCAGTTCTCCATCGTGTTCCTCCCATTCTAAACTATAAACAGTGTAAACTATGAATATTGACATAATATTTCTGTATCACATATGCAGTAAACAGTGAAATGTCCCAGGTTACATAACTCTCAGATCTACTGTATAAAGTCAAATAGTTCAGAAATTTAAACAAAAAAGAATTGAAAGTGCCTGATTTCTGGATTTATTAAAACATATTCCCTATTAATAGGAAAACAAAGAAAAGATATAATTACACACAATGGAAAAAGGTGATATCAGAGAGCTGGGTACAAATAGGCTGTATATGTTGTTCATAGCAAAGAAAATATAGAGATAAAAACATGTTGTACACAACAAAGTCTAAGTATCCTTTGACTGCTAGGGATAAAGGAAGAACATATTTCAGAGGTCAGTTGCTACCATTTAAAAGGTAAAGGTTACCCTCACACATATGTGCTAGTTGTTCCTGACTATATGGGGTGGTGCTCATTTCCATTTCAAAGCTGAAGAGCCAGCGCTGTCTAAAGACGTCTCCGTGGTCATGTGGCCAGCATGACTAAACACTAAAGGCACACAAAGCGCTGTTACCTTCCCACCAAAGTGATCCATATTTTTCTACTTGCATTTTTACATGCTTTCAAACTGCTAGGTTGGCAGAAGGTGGGACAAGTAACGGGAGCTAACAACTTTCTCCAAAGAAGAGAAGGACCAGAGGAGATATGATAGCAGTGTTCCAATATTTGAGGGGCTGCCACAGAAATGAGGTGGGGGGTCAAGCTATTTTCCAAAGCATCTGAAGGCCAGACAAAGAGTAATGGATGGAAACTGATCAAGTAGAGATTCAACCAAGGAAAAAGGAGGGAACAATCAAGCAATGGAATATCTTGCCTTCAGAAGTTGTGGGAGCATCATCACTGGAAGTGTTCAAGAAGAAACTAGACTGCCATTTGTCAGAAATGATGTAGGATTTCCTGCTTGGGCGGAAAGGTTGGATTAGATGACCTACAAGGTCCCTTCCAACTCTGTTAATCTATTAAATACCAATAGGAATCCACCACCCCAACCACACTGTATGACACTATTGAGAAGCTTACCAAAATCTTCGATGGCCATGGAGCAGATCAGTACATTGATTGAAGAATGCAGCTGTTTGAAATGGAGGACAGAGATTATCACTACTATACCCTGCCCTCTTTGTTAATTTTTAAATTGATTTAAATAATGTTTATCATTTTAATGTTTTTATCTTGTTGTTTGTATTGATAGTAAGCTGTCTAGATCCCTCTCTAGGCAAATGTGTGGCATATAAGTTTAATAAGTAAAACCAAATAAATATTGCCACACATGATGAGAACTATGGCTAAATCCACATATATCTGAGTGGAGATCTTATATTTTTATGATGCAAAGCTCTTATCTCCTTGCAGGCTCCAGAGATTACTGGAATTCATAATGTGTTGTTGAGAAACAAATATGTCATTCAGAAGAGAAGAACACAGGAGGTTCTGTGGAAAGAGAACACAATCAACAATAATCAGAGCTTGTGATAAATATAGGGAGCAATGGTTCACTGTATAAATACATGCAGTAGGCATACCTCCTTTTTTATAAAGGGCAGTCCTTTATTTCAGCTAGCTGTCTTTTTTTTTAATTGAATTATTTCTTTTTTTGGTTTTGCTCTTGAATTTTCCTTTGTAAAGCAGTCTTAAGCATCAACCATTATTTTTTTATTGTACTGAACCTCTTTCAGATCTGCCCCCTTACAGATTTGTTCTTTATTTTTTTTCCAAGAAAATAGGATCACGGTAGCAGTACCTAAATAGAGATCTCCTTGTTTAAAACCATACTAACGTTGCATCTTTCCAAGGGTTGTATGGGTGGACAAAGGATAATAAAAATCTATCTCTAGCTTACTAAATGATTTGCACTAAATGAACTGCAGATCCCATTGTTTAGGAGAGAAACCCATTTAAGTTAAATTGTGGCGTTAAGAAAATTAGATATGTGTATAAAATCAACTGCACAGACTCCATTTCTAATCCTAAAATGATTCTGCACCAATTATTCATACTGTGTTAATCCAGGAACTAAGGTTCACTTAAAATGGGTGAATTAAATTCTGAAACATTTCTAGCTGAATCACTATTAGGCTCCTTTTTTCAGAGAGTTTTTAACCAAAGTAATTTCCAGAAGATTCAGCTCCATTATTTTAATAAGACAGAGCTGTTGTGAGGTTAATGATAAATGCAGCATGTTAATAAACAACACAGTATACTCACTGGTGGTTTTCTTTCTTTTTTATTTCTTTTTTCCCCAACTATATCTTGGCTATTAACAGCTACTTTTCAAGGCTATTGAACCCCCCCCCCACT